TTATAGGGGTAGGAACTCACCTTATGTGGGTGATTCAAACGAATATGTGCGTAAGGATGAGAAGTTCCATGAATGAAGCCCCGAGACACAACCGAGTCCTAAATGACATATATTGGCATGAATATAGTGTTTAGAAGCAACCACATGCAAGGAAACACCTTTAGGGACTAGGAAACACTTGGACCAAGTGTTAGAATCACATGTGATTCATCTAAGGGGAGTGTACGGCCACTATAGGGAGTGTGCGGCCATGGAGTGTACGGCCGTACACTCATGGTAACAAGTGCATAAAAGTTTGCTTGGATGATAGGGACGCTTGTGGGACTATTTCTCATCAAGTGTTGAAGCTAGATTTGCATTTTGGAGGCCCTTTAGGGGGTGTTTTGAGGGGTGTACGGCCACACATGGGTGTACGGCCGTACACTCCTTATGATCTTGAGTTTTGGCCATTTTAAGGGTGTTAATCAAGTGTTCCTAACATGTACTACGCATAGGGAAGGAGTACTTACCATTCGGAAGCTCAAAAGGGTTCAAAATCACCAAGAACAAGTGTGTGTTCTTGGTGTTCTTGGTGAAATGGATGAAGATTCGAAGATCTACCCAAAAGATGATTTGCAATGGATGAAATCAAAGGGTGTTACTAGGTTAAGAAGAATAACAACAAATCAAAACGAAAGAAAGGCTTACATTCTTGAAGATCGGGGTGAAAGCTTGATGATAGTTGAGAGAGAAATCGATGTTCTTGACTTGGAAACTGAAGAAATGGCTTAGAAATGAAGGGATATCACTCTTATGGAGGGGGTGTACGGCCAACATGGGTGTACGGCCACACACACATGTCTACGGCTGCACACTCATGTGTACGGCCGTACACTCCCTCTAATGGAGTATTCGGCTCGATTTCAACGCGAAGAACTTTAGCTGACACATCCCTAAAACCAATGCTTGAATCTACTGAGCTTTGAACCCTTAGAAAGACTCTAAACAATGCTAAAAAGATAGCAGAAACGAGTCTAACACACTGTTGGATTGAATGGCTGAACTTACAAGGCAAAGAGTTTCGGGTTGTCACATCATCCCCCCGTTAGATGGAATTTCGTCCCGAAATTAGCTTTCTTAGCAGTACTACTGGGGTTGTGCTCCTATGATTGGCAGAATACCCACTCGTAGACCTGGCAACTTTGCCCTAATGTCCATGATAGGATTCATACTTGGTCCATCTATCATTACCTCGTGTATACAAGTCGTATATAATTAAGATTAGTTAGACAGTCGGATGTGCGACTCTGCCCCAGGTCCACAACCAAACAAGGAACAGGAGATAGGGCGGAAGCACACATACTAAATCTGCGTAATCATAATCATATACCACCTTCGCGTATACACTGAATAGTGATACGTGGGCTGTATTCGTCCTTAGCCTCTGTGCTCGAACTTGGTATGTTGGACGAGTGGTATTTCGTGACGGTCTGTGGAACATACAGTGGCAAGGCTTCGAAGGGCAAAGTACTCTTCGCACGAGTACTTCAGGGTTTAGAATACGAAGGATAGAACTGAGGTCTAGGTCGGACTGTCGTTACGAATGACGAAGGTTTCGCGAATTGACGGTCGAGGCGATAGAAACATATGAACTTAGTATGGTGAGAACCACGCCAACTCATGACGAATGATAGCAACAGACTCTTTACTAAAAAAAAAGTTTGGCCGATTTGAAAGAAATGTCTACTATACGATGATATACTCCTAGTGTGCTCGACAATGTACTCTTTGTAAACGTTCTAGTGCTTTCTGTTTTCCCCTTGATGTTAACACTTCTACGTATCATACCGCGATGAGTGAGTACATACCATGAAAGTGCTTTGATAACTAGTGTCGATACTTTATACTACGATCCTCCTTGGTACCACTATGATCGCCTGGCATATACAAGTTATGAATAATTAAGATGAATAAGACGGTCGACTGAGTAACTCTGCCCCAAATCCACAACCAAACAAGGAACAGGAATTAAGGCGAAATCACTCACTCTAAGTCTGCAAAATCTTAGCTATGCACAACCCTTATGTACATACTCAGCCATCATAGCTTCTCTGAACGGATCTTTTAGTTCTCTTAAATACTGTGACTTGTTTCAATAAGTGAGTTATTATAATTACTTTTAAATGTTTTCCCCAAGTTTTAATCTTATATAAATATAAATTAACTTTTAAAGTAATTCATAGATCGAAGACGTACTGCTGTTCGCTGGCGACTCCGAGGTTGATTCTCCTGCGGTGATCATCAGAATTCGTCCATCCGCTCTTGAGTTCTTTGTTATCGGGCAGTCTCTCTGGTAGTGTCCAGTCTCACCACAGCCATAGCAGGCTTGGTTTTCTTGTTCTCCGGGGTAACCATCCCAGGGCATAGTGTTGCTAGGTCGCTAAACCTGTCAGTGTAGGTCAATATGTCTGAGACGACCATAGTGTGCTCCCACAGTTCTTGTTCCAGTTTTTGAACTTCGCCTCTCTGGCAGTATTCTTCCAGCATCAACTCTTTTAGGTTTTCCCAACCTATTGAGTTAGCCACTGATAGGGCCCAGTGACTTAACATGGCTGCTCCACCATGTCAGGGCTTTGTCGGAGAAGGTGCAAGCAGCAAACTTCACTTTGCTCCCTTCTGGGCACATACAGATTTCGAAGACCGAATCTGTTTTCTCGAACCATCGCATCAGAGCGATGACTCCACCATTTCCATTAAAGGAATTGGGTTTGCAGTTCATGAAGTCCTTGTACGAACACTCCCTTGGGTGTCCGTGAGAATCTCTGGGGTTGGCTAAATGGGTACCGCTACCAGATCTGAAGGTACCACTTTCGCCGAAGTGAGCTAGAGCAGTTGCCACTACGGAGGATATCGCTGCTTGGAGAGCAGCAGGATCGAATTGTGGCGGAGGTAGTGGCGGCTAAGTTGGAGTTATAGGAGTAGTGCGTCGGTTTGATCTGCGAGGAGGCATCTTTGCTCAAAGAATACAAAGATGAGATGGAATAAGTCTATAGTAGTGGATATAAGCCGAAAGCTGAAAGACAAGGTTATCCTAGTTTTGAGTGTATCGGGTCCTGACTTCCACAGGGTTCTGGAAACAATTCATAAAATAGTCTATACCAAATAAACTTTATGAATTATAAACGGCTATCCTCGAATGAATATCTGTGACCTGAATAACTGTTACCAGTTGCATGTAAAGGAAAATAATCCTAACACATAATGTGAGCAGTGTTTCCAGTAACTCATTAAGTTAATCAAGATTATTATTTATTAGTGTGACGCATAAGACGTTTTGGTTACTTCGGTTGATTCTTCTTTGAAAACTTCTCATGAACTTGCTCTTGTTCCTCCTTGACTATTCTGTTGCCCGCTATGAGGAAGTGGTTACATCTATCTGGGTTTGTCGTGCGAGAATGGAAGTGTCTAAAGAATCTATGAGATTTAAATGAACATGATGGGGTGATCCTTACAGAGTCCTTCTATAATTACACAATGTATACAAGTTGTATATAATTTAAGATTAAATAGACCATCGAATAAGTGATCCTACTTCAAAACCACAACCAAACAAGGAACAAGTAGTGAAGCGTAGATCACAAATTCTAAGTCTATAAAATGTCAATTATATAAAACCTTGGGAGTATACACTGCAAGATTATAGACCTATCTGTAAGGGTCTTTTAAGTTATCACATAAGTTATTTATATAGTGCCTAAAATACTCCTATAGTATTTTAATGTAATGAACTTGGTATGTTTTAAACTTGTTGTCATGTTATAGTATTATAAAATACTCCTATAGTATCTTATCCTTATGTTCTGATCTAGAATTCCCTTTAATAGAGTTAGGTAAGTTTTAAGACTGTTGCAACACCACATCACTCCCAAACACATGTCGGTCACATCTCGAATGAATATAGTTGATCAGGCTATATTGATCCTAGCTATGATTACATAACTGTCCAGGTTTGACCGCAGTGTTCAACCTTTAAATACTTCTGTTCTGTTCTTCTTGTGATACTTGTTCTAGTATGTATATATGTATAAGCACGTATGTATACTTTTATAAGGTATCGTTATATATTTAAAATATATTATTATCCAGAGCACTTCGGCCCCATTGTATTTATAGTTGTATATCTTTTATCGGTTGATATACTTAGTTCACTATAAACAATGCTCTGATACCAATCTGTCACACCCCAAAATCGGAACGGCGGAAACGTTCGGGGGCGGAGGACGTCATGTTTAGTATCACAAGACATCACAACTAGAAAAACAACCTTTTACGACGCGCAATGCGTGTCGTAAAACGCTCAGACGACGCGCAAATGCGCGTGAAGAAAGGCCCTGTCATAATGGAAGACGACACGCATTTGCGCGTCGCCTGTTTACGACGCGCATTTACGACGCTCATTTACGACGCGCAGTTATGACGCGCAATGCGTGTCAAGAAAGGCCCTGTCATAAATAAAGACGACACGCATTTGCGTGTCGTAACCTTACGACGCGCGTGTTTAAGACACGCAATGCGTATCAGAAAGGCCCTGTCATAAAGGCAGACGACACGTCATTGCGTGTCGTAAAGTTACGACGCGCTTTTACGACTCGCAATGCGTATCATTAAATGTACTATCATAATCGAAGATGACACACATTTGCATGTCATAAATTCCAGCTGCCAGTTACTATACACCTTTACGACGTGCATTTACGACACACATTTACAACGTGAATACACATAATAAAAGACAAATATATATACCAAAACATTCATTTTCATCTAAACGTCAAACAACTTACCTAACAACATTACATACATGTCAAGTTACCTTAAGTAACATTACTAAAAGTTAGCAAAAACATGTACATGTGTGTCAAAAGACTACCTAGCATTACAACACATGTCAAAAGACCATACCTAGTAGTTCACTATTAACCATAACATTGTTTTGCGGATACATTGTCAAAAGACCATAATCATCGATAAATGAAGCTTGTAACAAACTCTGACCATTCTTCACGTATCTCATCGATATCATCAGTTGTGTACTCAACTTTGCCATCCCCGATCTGTGAAAAAATTTGCATATTGTTTTTATTAATAAAAAATAGCATATTAACATATTCTATAACAGTAAATTGCTATATTTAACAAATAAGCATAAAATGTAAATTATTCTTTCTTAATAGGGCATTGTACTTTCAAATGAATGAAAAGCATATTTTATTTTTGCATGTAACCTAATATTTCAATTATAATTATGAGAGTAGGATGCGATAAAATGATCCTTTTTCAATTCCTTTCCTATTAAATTATAGTAATGAAAGTAGAATGCTATATCCTTACATTGTCTTTGACCAACACTTCAATTCCTTCTTCCACTATCTCCTTCATGAACCTTAGCATGTAGTAGCCACATTCGGTAGCCCCGGGCTGAACTGGACACTACACAATTACATATAAAATGATCATTGCAATTGATCCAAAAAATAAAGTTAAAACTACAATTTCAATAAGGAATTAAGTGCTGACCGTAACATTAACCCAATTTAGTTTAACCCTTTTGTTAGATCCACTTTGTGTAGCGTACATAACCATTGCCCTATAAAAAAACATCAACAAATAGGTGTTTATTGTATTCTCACATCAACTGTTTTGATAATTTATATTACTTACGAATCAACAATTTGCTTCAACTGCATATTGAAATTGCTAGAACTCAAGGAATCAAGATAGTAGCAATTATCCGATTTCATGTCTAGTACACCCAATACCCAATGTCTTCTACAAAAACCACAAACAAAATTAAGTCAAATAATTAACATAATTGCAGTCATTTTCAAAATAAATGTCAAAATCAAACCCGGGATTGTAGGGCATAAAGATGATGTCATTGCCCTTTCTTTTAGACAACCGATCTGCTAAACCTCTGCTTGCATCATCAATATTCTTAGATTTCCCTTTACGCGTACTTGGCAAAATTAATGTCGGGTTCACAAAGCAAATTCCATGGTCTCTTTCTGGGGAGCCACACTTCATTTTGTTAAACAATACCCTGTTATCATACAAACACTAAATTCATTAAACAAATTTTGTTTTAAGACACAATGATATTTAAATTAAATTTCTTGCACGTACATCATATAAGACACAATAATAGCACCAGTCAGCTCATCCATTGTAAGAACTGCTTCAAAATCATCCCAAGTTAAGTACGTGTAACTATCGTACCCAAAAAGATCGTTCTCACTCTACACTTTTATAGAATCAACCTTTGTAACTTGTCCATCAGCCATCATTGCAGTCATTTTCAAAATACTACTCTTCTCAATTATAACGCCCGTGTTTCTGGGCTAAGCATTAATGTTGTTGTAATAGTCTAGGTTAACCTTTGTAACTCATTTTGAAATAATAAGAATGTGTTATTTGAGTATTATCTGTTTGGTGCTTAATTGTGTGTCTTAATTGAATTAAGAATAAAAATAAGCATTAAAATGAAATGTTAGATAAAGCCGATATCTATGGATAATGTTGTAGTAGTTGAAACAAGGTTTCCGAATATATAAAGAATGCCGAAATCCGAGTTATAACGAAGAACCTTATGACCTGTCGAAGTTTCGCGACAGAACCGGCACGACGCTGAATGACGTAAAATATGAATTTAAGATAGAGAGATGTCTAGCCTTAGTGATCTAAATGAAAGTCGTAGAATACGTTAAACCGATAGCATGCATAAAAAGAACGCCCAAATCTGACTTCGTATGAGGAAGTTATGATTTTCCGAAGTTTCGACTTAGTAGTATACAGCCCGAATACTCGATTTGAGATCGAGCGGTTTTTAGCCGAAACAATCTAAACGAGAATCGAAGATGTCATCATTAGTAGTGCAACGGTCAAAAGACAGACGAAAACGGACGTCGGATGAAGAAGTTATGATTTTATAATGGAATTTTCCTGTCCCGGCCTACTAAAAATAATATAATAAAAATAAATCAAAATTAGCCGACGGAGTCTAAACGAAAGTTGTAGAGCGTAGTCTCACCTACGCGTGGATATAAAGAACGTCGAAAACTGAGCTTGTATGCGAAAGTTATGAATTTTTGAAGATCGTGGCACGTATACCAAAGCTTATCCGAAAGAGTTGCTGATCCGATCCGAACTACGCCCAACGTAGTTGAGTACGCCCAGCGTACACCGAAGCGTGACCCGCCTCGCACTCGAGTACTCCGATGACGTAAGCGATGACGATCCGAGGCGTACGCCCCGCGTACCGAAGCATTACGCCCAGCGTAATGCGAGGCTTCAGCCCCTATATAAAGGGTGCAAGGGCAGCCGATCTTTTTGCTCTTTTTTCTCTTCTCTCTCTCTCTCTCGTTTTGCATCGTTTTTCGTGCCAGAATTATCCCGAAGCCCCGGTATCATTCCTGAGCCCCGAGGCAAGTTCCGAAGTCCCGAAGATCCCGAGAATTAAAGTTTCCGAGCCGAAACTCTGCCCGCGAGAAGCCCGGTTTTCAAGGAAAACATCCCGGTTTTATCGGGAAAGTTTATTTTAAGAGACGAGGTGATGTCCGATCATTGTCTTATCAAGTGAGTGTATATTCGTTTTCTTCTAACACATAGATATGAAGTATTTTTTATAACATACGTGCTACGTGTTTAGATATTATTTGTTTATTTGAACTATTTGTGGAATGGGTGTTTGTACAGGTTTTAAGCTGTATATAAATGTATATATTTTATCTACTAATATGTTGGGTAGAACATGGGTAGATAGTTGGTGTGTGATGAAATAAAATGATGAGAGGCCTCGATGTTGTTGTTGATCTAGTCATCTAGCGGAGTATGGATGACGACCACAGACTCATTCTAGATAGTCCAGTGGAACACTAGCAGGCTCATAACCTGTAGGTGTTGTGAACGACGTGTTCACCGGTGTACTCTATCCCCCTCATGGTTGCCTTTTGGATATCTATTGCTAAGGAAGCCCCTTTGCAGTAATGTCCGTCCCGATGAAAATCCTAGATTAGGTCCCTTGTAATAGTTGTTGTTTTAGGGACGTAAAGTGAGGATAACGGGAATGGGTAATCGGGTTATTGTTGATTGTTGAATTAAATATAATTATTTATTGTGGGTTGAAAACCCTATATGCTCACCAGGCCCCCAAGCCTGACCCACTCAGTTTACTTGTATTACAGGAAGTGGCGCAAGGGCATAAGATGGATGAATCATCAAGTTGTTTTGTCTACAAGTCTGTATATGTATATATTTGTTGAATGACTTGTAATGTTATCGTTTATGCTTTATGGTCTGTATCGGAACATGACATCCCGATTTTTGATTATGAAATGAAATTATATTTCTTTATGAAATGTTTTGATAAAAATCTTTTATCATGTTTGTTTTGGGAACAAATTCCGCAACTCTTTTAAATCAAAAGAATTTACTCTGAAAATATTTAAAAAGCATAAATGAAACCGGTCTTTTCTGGCCGAGATTTTGGGGATGTCACAGTTGGTATCAGAGCATTAGTTTAAGCGAACTAGGAATTTGTAGGATTTCTAGACTTAAACTTAGAATGCTAAGCGATGATTTTGAGATGCGAGCACTAGTTATTTTAGGAAAATTGCCTAAAATGCTTTTATATGATAAATGTTATATGTTTGCCATATGTGATATTATTTGTTCGGAACTATGGTCTGTTGCCGATTGGATCTGGAAACCTTATGTGTTTAGGATTCTAAGCGTGTGACGACGGTATTAGAACTAGCATGTAAACGTTTCGGAGTGATTTGGATAATTATCTATCGTGAAGGAGGATCTAAATTCACCTTGTTCGATGTATAGATCAACGATGGCAAGAACAAGAAGTGGCGCTGGAAACGCAAACGAAAACAGGAATCGACCACCTGTAATCGAGCAAATACCTGTTGTAGCTGCTGCACCTGAGCCGGTGACAATGGCTGGTGTACAATTGATGATTCAGACGATGTTGGATCGTCAGATGGAAGAAACTAGACGTCTGCTTCAACAAAATCGTGAAGAACTTTCAATCCAAGTTGAAGAGCCTGAAGTGAACGGAGGGCCGTCTGAAGAAGGAAGCTTCAGTGGTACCATTGGTCAAGCCAACCCACCAATTGTTAGACAAGATAATCGTGATGGAGGAAATGATGGAAGAGGATGTAAATACAAGGATTTTATGGCATCTAAGCCACCGTATCTATCCGGAAGCCCGACGCCGGTGCAAGTTATGGACTGGATCTCCGAAATGGAGACAATGTTTGAGAGTTGCGAATGCAGCAACAAGCAGAAGACCGCTCTTGCGATCCCTTTGTTGAAATCTAGCGTGTTGAGTTGGTGGAAGTTGTTAGCTAACTCGATGCCCAAGGGAGAAGCGAGCAAGATGTCTTGGGAAGACTTTGTGGAACAACTGAAACTGCAATACTGCTCCGAGCAGGACCTTCTGGAAATCAATAACGAGTTCCATAATCTGAAAAAGGGAAAAATGAGCGTTACTAAATACGCTGCTAGTTTCACGGAAAAGATGAAGCTTATCCCATACCTAGTTCCAACAGAACTCTCAAAGGTCAATAAGTATGCCCTTGGACTACCAGCGGACTATGGTCCAATGGTTAAGCAAGCAACCACGTTGAAAGCCGCCATCTGGGGTGCTAAGAATGTTGAGACTCAGATCAGGGAGAAGGGTCTGGAGAGATCAGAGGTTGGTGAGAAGAAGAAGTTGGATGGGCCTTCAGGGTCCAGCAAGAAAAAGAAGTTCTCGAAGTCTAGTTCGAGAGGAGGAGGAGGCGAAGCGAAGTGGTGCGACAAATGTAAAAAGAAGCATCATGGGAAATGTGATGGGGAAGTCACATGCTTCAAATGTGGAAAGCCAGGGCATTATGCCAACGAATGCACCCTTACCAAGAAAGTTTGTTATGGGTGTAATGAAGAAGGGCACGTTTTGAGGGACTGCCCGAAGAAGAAGGAGGCAGGAAAACCCAACATTCCCCCAAAGCCAAAAGCGAGAGCCTTCCAGATGACACTAGAAGCTGCCAAGGAAGAAGCTGATGTCGCTTCAGGTACCTTTCTCGTAAACAAATTGCCTGCCCAAATTTTATTTGATTCAGGAGCCAACTACTCCTTTATTTCGCATGAATTTGGTAGAAAACTAGCTTTGCCTATCGATAGACTAGATAATGCTTTATTAGTCGAAGTTGCTAGTGACAAGTTTGTACCTGTTAGCCATCGTATGAAAAACATCTTAATCGACCTGAATGGGAATAAGTTCCACGAGGAATTGTTGCCTATCGAACTAAATGGTTTCGACATCGTGCTGGGAATGGATTGGCTTAGCGCCAATGATGCCGAAATATTGTGCCGAAAGAAGATAGTAAAAGTAAACCCGCCAGGGAAGGAGTCATTTATGGTGTACGGGGACAAACGCAGGGTAAATTCTGGAATCATTTCCCTAATATAAGCCAGAAAGTGTTTGGCCAAAGGATGTACATCATATTTGGCATTCGTGATTGACGCAAAGAAGGAGAAAAAGGAGATGAAGAGCATTCCCGTCGTATGTGAGTATCCGGAAGTATTTCCCGAAGATCTTCCTGGATTACCGCCTGATCGACAAGTAGAATTCCGTATCGACTTGTTACCAGGAGCGACGCCAATAGCAAAGGCACCATACCGATTAGCGCCAACAGAGATGAAAGAGCTTATGACACAACTTTAGGAGTTATTGGACAAAGGTTTCATTAGACCTAGTTGATCACCCTGGGGAGCCCCGATGTTATTTGTAAAGAAAAAGGACGGGAGTATGAGGATGTGCATTGACTACAGAGAGCTGAACAAGGCAACAATAAAGAATAGATATCCATTGCCGAGGATTGATGACCTGTTCGATCAACTACAAGGTTCAAGTTATTTTTCAAAGATCGACTTAAGGTCAGGATATCATCAGCTGAAGGTGAGAGAGCAGGATATCGAGAAGACTGCATTCAGAACACGATATGGACACTACAAGTTTTTGGTTATGTCGTTCGGACTAACCAATGCTCCAGCAGCATTCATGGATTTAATGAACAGGGTTTGTAATCCGTTCCTCGATAAATCTGTGATAGTGTTCATAGATGACATTCTGGTTTATTCGAAAAGCCAAGAGGAGCATGGAAAAAACACTTGTGCGAAGTGTTAGAAGTCTTGAAGAAAGAGAAGCTATATGCTAAGTTCTCCAAATGTGATTTTTGGATCCGAGCAGTCCAATTCTTGGGTCATGTGGTCAACCAAGAAGGAATAATGATTGATCCAGCAAAGATCGAAGCTGTGATGAAGTGGGAACAACCGAAAAGTCCCACGGAGGTCCGAAGCTTTTTGGGATTAGCCGGATACTACCGAAGGTTTATCCAAGGCTTTTCTTCGATCGCTACTCCATTAACAGCTTTGACTCACAAAGGAGCTACTTATACTTGGAGTGATAAGCACAAAGAAGCATTCGAGTTGCTGAAGAAGAAGCTATGTGAAGCACCGATTCTTTCTTTTCCCGATGGAGTTGAAGACTTCGCTGTCTATAGCGATGCGTCTGGTGTTGGATTGGGTTGTGTTTTGACCCAAAGAGAAAAGGTGATAGCGTATGCGTCTCAACAGCTGAAAGAGCATGAAAAGAACTACCCCACTCATGACTTGGAGTTGGCAGCGGTAGTATTTGCTCTAAAAATATGGAGGCATTACCTCTATGGCTCGAAGTGCAAACTTTTCACTAATCATAAGAGTCTCCAATATCTATTTAATCAGAAAAGAATTGAATATGAGGCAAAGACGCTGGCTAGAGTTACTTATGGACTACGACTGTGAGATACTTTACTACCCTGGTAAAGCCAATGTTGTTGCTGATGCTCTCAGTCGGAAAGTCAATCTTGAAAGAAAAAGGCCAAGAGCGTTGAGAATAGAACTTGTCTCGATAATTGTGGAGAGTATAAAGAAGGCTCAAGAAGAAGCTTCTGAAAAGAATGACCGAAAGGAGGAACGTTTGGGCAAAACGTTGGTGTTTGGTACAAACGGTCATGGACTGAAGGTATTCCAAGATCGTATTTGGGTACCTAAGTCAGGAGGGATAAGAGATCTTCTGATGGAAGAAGCTCACAAAACCATGTACTCAATTCATCCCCGGTAGCACTAAAATGTATAGGGATCTAAAACCCTATTACTGGTGGCCGACGATGAAGCTTGACATTGCGAAGTATGTGGCCGAGTGTGTGACATGTGCAAGAGTTAAGGCACAACATCAGAAACCATATGGGAGTTTAGAACCTTTACCTGTGCCTATGGGTAAATGGGAAGACATCACAATGGATTTTGTCACTAAACTGCCCAGAACGAAGAATGGTCACGACATGATTTGGGTGGTCGTTGATCGCTTCACTAAGAGTGCGCATTTCATAGCAGCCAATGAAAAATGGTCTATGGATAAGCTCGCGAATTCTTACGTGAAGGAGATCGTGAGGCTTCACGGTGTTCCGTTAATGATTGTATCAGATCGTGACAGCCGTTTCACCTCAAGATTTTGGAGAAGTCTACAAGAGGAGTTGGGTACCAAGTTGTGTTTGAGTACAGCTTACCATCCACAGACTGATGGTCAGAGCGAGTGAACAATACAAACACTTGAAGCTATGCTGAGAGCATGTACCCTAGAATTCCAAGGTAATTTGGGATGAACATTTACCTTTGGTAGAATTTTCCTACAATAATAGTTTCCACTCGAGCATTAAGATGGCACCTTATCAAGCTTTGTACGGACAGAAGTGTCGTACGCCATCTTGTTGGCTTGAGGCTGGGGAAAAGCAGTTTATGGGGCCGGAGATAGTCCATCAAACTGCTGAAAAGTTGAAAATAATTAAGGAGAGAATGTTAGCAGCTCAGGATCGTCAAAAGAGCTATGCTGACAAGAAAAGAAGACCGATGACCTTTGAAGTTGGAGATTCGGTTTTGCTTAAAGTCTCGCCATGGAAGGGACTTATAAGGTTTGGAAAAAGGGGAAAGTTAAGTCCAAGGTTTATTGGACCCTTTAAAGTTCTTCAGAGGATTGGGAATCAAGCGTACAAGCTCGAACTACCAGAAGAACTGAGTGGAATTCATAACACTTTTCATGTGTGTTATTTGAGGAAGTTCACGGGAGAAGTTCCCGATATGATTCCACTTTCGGAGTTGAGAATTGATGAGAACAAAAGATTAATTGAAGAACCGGAGGCAATCGTTGACCGAAAGACTAAGAAGTTACGACGTAAGATGGTCGAATTAGTGCTTGTCCGTTGGAAACATGCGAATGGGCCAAATCTCACATGGGAAACGGAGAGTGACATGATGAGTCGCTATCCACATTTATTTGTTGATATGTGATTCCGGGGACGGAATCATTCTAAGGTGGGGAGAGTTGTAACGCCCGTGTTTCTGGGCTAAGCATTAATGTTGTTGTAATAGTCTAGGTTAACCTTTGTAACTCATTTTGAAATAATAAGAATGTGTTATTTGAGTATTATGTGTTTTGTGCTTAATTGTGTGTCTTAATTGAATTAAGAATAAAAATAAGCGTTAAAATGAAATGTTAGATAAAGCCGATATCTATGGATAATGTTGTAGTAGTTGAAACAAGGTTTCCGAATATATAAAGAATGCCGAAATCCGAGTTATAACGAAGAACTTATGACCTGTCGAAGTTTCACGACAGAACCGGCACGACGCTGAATGACGTAAAATATGAATTTAAGATAGAGCGATGTCTAGCCTTAGTGATCTAAATGAAAGTCGTAGAATACGTTAAACCGAGAGCATGCATAAAAAGAACGCCCAAATCTGACTTCGTATGAGGAAGTTATGATTTTCCGAAGTTTCGACTTAGTAGTATACAGCCCGAATACTCGATTTGAGATCGAGCGGTTTTTAGCCGAAATAATCTAAACGAGAATCGAAGATCTCATCATTAGTAGTGCAACGGTCAAAAGACAGACGAAAACGGACGTCGGATGAAGAAGTTATGATTTTATAACGGAATTTTCCTGTCCCGGCCTACTAAAAATAATATAATAAAAATAAATCAAAATTAGCCGACAGAGTCTAAACGAAAGTTGTAGAGCGTAGTCTCACCTACGCGTGGATATAAAGAACGTCGAAAACGGAGCTCGTATGCGAAAGTTATGAATTATTGAAGATCGTGGCACGCATACCAAAGCTTATCCGAAAGAGTTGCTGATCCGATCCGAACTACGCCTAGCGTAGTTGAGTACGCCCAGCATACACCGAAGCGTGACCCGCCTCGCACTCGAGTACTCCGATGACGTAAGCGATGACGATCCGAGGCGTACGCCCCGCGTACCGAAGCATTACGCCCAGCGTAATGCGAGGCTTCAGCCCCTATATAAAGGGTGCGAGGGCAGCCGATCTTTTTGCTCTTTTTCTCTTCTCTCTCTCTCTCGTTTTGCATCGTTTTTCATGCCAGAATTATCCCGAAGCCCCGGTATCATTCCCGAGCCTCGAAGCAAGTTCCGAAGTCCCGAAGATCCCGAGAAGTAAAGTTTCCGAGCCGAAACTCTGCCCGCGAGAAGCCCGGTTTTCAAGGAAAACATCCCGGTTTTATAGGGAAAGTTTATTTTAAGAGACGAGGTGCTGTCCGATCATTGTCTTATCAAGTGAGTGTATATTCGTTTTCTTCTAACACATAGATATGAAGTATTCTTTATAAAATACGTGCTACGTGTTTATATATTATTTGTTTATTTGAACTATTTTGTGGAATGGGTGTTTGTACAGGTTTTAAGCTGTATATAAATGTATATATTTTATCTACTAATATGTTGGGTAGAACATGGGTAGACAGTTGGTGTGTGATGAAATAAAATGATGAGAGGCCTCGATGTTGTTGTTGATCTAGTCATCTAGCGGAGTATGGATGACGACCACGGACTCATTCTAGACAGTCCAGTGGAACACTAGCAGGCTCATAACCTGTAGGTGTTGTGAACGATGTGTTCACCGGGTGTACTCTATCCCCCTCATGGTTGCCTTTAGGACATCTATTGCTAAGGAAGCCCCTTTGCAGTAATGTCCGTCCCGATGAAAATCCTAGATTAGGTCCCTTGTAATAGTTGTTGTTTTAGGGACGTAAAGTGAGGATAACGGGAATGGGTAATCGGGTTATTGTTGATTGTTGAATTAAATATAATTATTTAATGTGGGTTGAAAACCCTATATGCTCACCAGGCCTCCAAGCCTGACCCACTCAGTTTACTTGTATTACAGGAAGTGGCGCAAGGGCATAAGATGGATGAATCATCAAGTTGTTTTGTCTACAAGTCTGTATATGTATATATTTGTTGAATGACTTGTAATGTTATCGTTTATGCTTTATGGTCTGTATCGGAACATGACATCCCGATTTTTTATTATGAAATGAACTTATATTTCTTTATGAAATGTTTTGATAAAAATCTATTTTATCATGTTTTGTTTTTGGGAACAAATTCCGCAACTCTTTTAAATCAAAAGAATTTACTCTGAAAATATTTAAAAAGCATAAATGAAACCGGTCTTTTCTGGCCGAGATTTTGGGGATGTCACATCAATCCTTATCCTTGTCTTCATCTATGCTCTGGTCCACCTTCTTTGCAAGGTCACATTTTGTTTCTCCTTCTTTTTAGTCTTCTTTTCTATTCCATTCCCTTCTTCCATATCATCCACTTCTTCCACATCACATGGTTCTTTTTGTTCATCAACCATTTTTTCCTGTCCCCTTTTCTTTCTTATTACTTCCTATTTCTTCTTTTAAAGGTGTTGCACCTTCCTTCACTGGTGTTGCGTGTTTCTTCACTGGTGTTACGTGTTTCTTCACTGGTGTTGCATGTTTCTTCACAGGTTTCCCCACCACTTTTCCCTACAAAAATTATCAAAAATATAGAATGAAACATGAATCATTTACTGAAGCTGAAAAAGAACTCACTCAAATATCAGAAAAAATAAGAAAACCAAGGGAAATCTGTGAAAACTTTGTATGTTTTAAATCTGTGAAAATTACCAGGTCAGAGCATCGAATAACTAAGTGTCTTGGCCAACTTAGTATGTGTCCCAGTGCATCTTTGACCTTCACAATGAACTCCTCTTCAAGTGGAATGGGTATTAAAGATTCTCCTTGTAGAAGTTTCCATCATAACTTCAATGTTTTCATCTGTTACATAAACGAAAAAAATAATTAAGATCCAATCTTCTAAAAAATGAAAATACATAAATAGTAATAATGCAAATATTTTTCAAAATACCCGACGCACTATACTTCATTATGGTTCCTTTAGCGACTACATTTGCAGCAAATTCAACCGCAAGAAGACATGAATTATCCTACCAAAATATAGTATGCTAGTTTGTAGAAAAAGAAAATTCTTTAAATATATTTTTCATAATTGTCTTCAAGGACTTACAAGTGATTCATCCCGTGGTTCTTTTTCAACATCTTCAATGACGCCCCCTACTTGGCAACTTGCGGCTTTAGAAACATTAAGTACACCTCTTTTTAGTTTCTCCAAGTCATCTTCAAGTTTGTTGATTCGTTTATCCATTCTCTCGTTCTCAATCTCCAAGTAATACTTAACATTCTTGGGTAAATAAAAGTATTGTTGTGGCGTTATAAATTTACCCATCCCTCGTACACGCCCACGTTGTTCCTGAGTACCCAAGGCCTCTGTAAGCACATCATGTGTTCCACATGTAACCTCTCCAAAGCTTCTAGATTTATGCAACTCATCCTGTAAAAAAATTGGGACAAATGTTAGAAAAAAAATGGGACAAATGTTATTTTATATATATATATATATTTGGCATTCAATGAAACTTACAATTTTATCAACAATCATCTTGACATCTGATTCGTATCCTCCTGTCTTCAACTCTCTTGCTTTTTTCCACAACAGTGTCCTATCAATCTCCTCTTTCGTCTTGCCGGTTTCTTGCATCTATATTATCAAGAATAACAAAGTGAATTAACATAAATATATACAAATAAAATAATCAATACTTAGTGGGAATCATACGATGTCATTAATGAGTCCGACATATCCTTTTCTGCTCAAACGATGATTGTATTTATGATGTGCACGAGTATTTTTAGCTTTTGTACTTTTCTCCTGCATTAGAAACATTAAAATTGTAACTAAAAACTTTTAACTTTCCACTTTTTTGTAATTCTATGGGATATAAATGCATATAAGAAAAGTTTAACCAACCTCCCATTTTTTTGTAACTCTATGGGATACAAAAACTTTCCAGTCTTCTTTCTTTATAAACGGATAATCTTTCGGAGGTTTGAATAGATTTGCCTTGGGATCTTTACTTTGGTTCTTAATGAACTTGGCATATAGATAATGCTTGAAGTTTCTCCACTTCTTCCCGATCGATTGGAGAGTTTGCTTCCGGATCTTTGGGTCAACTGCAAACTTTTCCTGAAACATAAAAAAAGGGTTGGTTAAAAAACAGATCTAAACAGGGACAAAAACAGAAACAGGGACAAAAACAAAAACAAAAACAAAAACAAAAACAGGGACAAAAAAGGTAATAACAAGAAGAAACAGAGACTTACCAAAACATATTGCCATAACCCTTCCCTTACTTCTTCACTAACTTCCAGCCAATACGCATAGGTTATAGGAACCATTGTTCTTGCAACCAAACCCTCAAAAGTAGACAGTTTTGTGGCTTCCTTTTCAACCGGGACACCTTTTTTATTGTAAGTTATTACAAGTTTCACTTTATTAGCTTTTGCCTTATATATCGGACCTCTTTGTTTGGAGTCTTCATTGTGATCAGAAGCTGAATCCGATTCCATGTCACAAAAACACAACCTGTTTCAACAAGATTCAAATAAAATTAAGTACATTGTTATTTGTTGCAGTTGGAAAAAAAAATTAATCACATTCAAAATCTGAAATATAAACATACCAAAAACTTTATTATTCTGCAAAAAAATATTTAAACTAATATGCCCTCGCCATCCGGGCGCGTACACAAAAAATCATCATCAAGGTCTAATAAAGCCGAGTCTTGTGTTAAATCAAAAGTAGCATCAAATTCCAACATATCATCAGTTTCACCATTTGATCCATACTTGTACATCCAATGTGGTGTGAATCCAACAACATGCAAATTCTCATCTTGTTGATCTAGAACATAAAAAACCTGTTTGGCTTGACTAGCTAATACGAAGGGTTCAGACTTCTGACCAAGTCTATCAAAGTTAACTACCGTGAATCCTAAATCATCCTTTTTTACTCCACGACTATCAACCCAATGACACATGAATACAGGAATAGTAAACATGCGATAATCAAGATCCCATATCTCTTTTATACAACCGAAGTAAGTAACAGCACCATACACAGGATTGGAGTCTTTTGCACTAGCAATCTGCATAGTATGTGCAACTAAAGATACTCCACTGCATTGAGTTGTTCTAGACTCATCTCGAGATGTTGTATGAAAATGATACTCATTTATGGCAAAACCGCTATATTTACTAACAACAAAATTAGGCCCTTTGGCCAACCAACGAACATCATCACAAATATCTTCCCCGTTAGCCAAACGTTTTTCAAGCTATTAGAAAAATATCTAATTAATGTAATTAAAACAAAATAATTAAAAATATTGTAATTGTAACAATCTTATTTTAAAAATAAACCTCTTTCTTAAACCAACTAATAAATGTCCGACTATGTTGGCTCTGCAACCATGTACTTTTGCGAGCGTGACGAGGGTTCAGATCCTTTAATTCCAACATATGTTGCCTGAAGTGTATTACAAGTTAGAAGAATGTTTTATATGATAGATAATGGTATAAGAGTATACAGTTTCATGTAATTCTTACTCTATATACGGCTCCATAACAGCAATGTTTCGTAATACATAAAGATGAGCTTGATCAAGTAACTGAGCATCTACAACATCGATTGTAGCCTTTGATAAAGGCTTGCCGCTGCGGATTCTTTCATCAACACGTTCATGAGGATTGCCAATTGATTTCGTGTCTTTTAAGTAGTCTGAACAAAATTCTAAGGCCTCCTCCGCCACATAACACTCTGCAATGCAACCCTCGGGTCGATGATGATTTCTTACATACCCTTTAAGTGTTTTCATGTATCTCTCAAATGGATACATCCACCTAAAATGAACTGGGCCACACGACCTCACCTCTCTAACTAAATGCACCATCAAGTGAGTCATGATATCGAAAAATGAAGGAGGAAAGTACTTCTCTAACAAACATAATGTTAATACGATGTCACTTTGCAACTTGCCTAACTTACTAACATCAACAACTTTACTACACAACTCATTGAAAAAATGACACAGACTTAGGATTGTTCTCCACACCTTCACATCTAACACCCCTTTGATTGCAAAAGGGAGAAGTTGTTGCATGAGTACATGACAATCATTAGACTTCAAACCATTCATCTTTGAAACATCATCCGACACAAGATTCTTGAAATTAGAGCAATACCGATGCGTAACTTTTATGTTAGACAGGGTATCATAAAATAGATGTTTCTCTGCGGAATTCAATGTGTACTTGGCAGGCGGAAGCCAATGTCGATCCCCTTTTGGTTGAGGTCGTAATTCAGTCTTAATGCCCAACGCTTCAAGATCTTGTCGTGCTTTTAATCCATCCTTCGTCTTGTGAGGCAAATTCAACGCTGTCCTATAAACACTCTCGGTCAAATTTTTTTCTATGTGCATGAGATCTAACTGATGGAGAACAGGCAACTTCTTCCAATATTCAAGTTAAAAAAAATCGATTTTTTATGCCAAAATTTAGATCTCTCGTCGATACTTTCTTTTTTCTTCTTTGAATTTTCCTTCTTTGAATTTTCCTTCTTTGGTGTTTCCTTCTTTGACGCTCCCTTCTTTGACTTTATCCTCTTTAACTTTATCCTCTTTGGAACCTTCTTTGACTTTATCTTCTTACCCCATGTAGTCTCAAAACCCGCCAGATAGTCATAAATATCTTCACCTGATGATGGTTGTGGCATAAAAACGTGCTCATGTTGATTGTTGAAATGTTTTTTTCTTTTACGAAAAGGATGTTCAAGTGGTAGGAATCTTCTATGCCCAAGAAAGCATACTTTTTTGGACTTTGGCAACCATTGTAAACAAGTATTCTTTGAACATATTGGACAAGCATAATAACCTTTGGTAACACACCCTGAAAGATTACTATATGCGGGAAAGTCACTTATAGTCCAAAGTAATATTGCTCTTAGATTGAAGTATTCTTTCTTATAAGAATCAAAAGTCTCAATGCAAGTTTCCCACAAGAGTTTTAGATCTTCTATCAATGGTGCCAAGTAGACATCAATATTGTTACCAGGTTGGTTTGGCCCAGATATCAACAGAGTCAACATCATGAATTTTCTTGACATACACAAATAAGGGGGTAGATTATATGTTATTAGGATAACCGGCCAACAACTATTCTTGGAACTTAATGACTTGTGAGGATTGATACCATCAGCAGACAAGGCTAATGTAAGATTTCGTTTTTCTTGTCCGAATTCTTTCCACGTGTTATCAACAAGCTTCCAAGAAGGGGTATCACGAGGATGAGTAAGCTTCCCATTATTGACCCGACCTTGTGCATGCCAAGTTAAGTCACGTGTAATTTGTGGTATTGAAAACATTCTTCTAAATCTAGGGATGATAGGAAAATACCACAAAACTTTTGAAGGTACGTTTTTGGTATTCTTCTTCCAACGAGAAGTGCCACAAGTTGGACATTGAGAAGCATCTTTATGTTCTTTCCAGAATAGAACACAATCATTTTCACATGCATGAATCTTCTCATATTGTAGACCTACTCCTTTTAGCAACTTCTTGGACTCATATATCGAGCTAGGGATGGTATTGTTTGATGGAAAGATATCTTTTAGGACATACAACAAAGCATCAAAACTAGCATCAGAGCATCCAAACTGACCCTTCAAATTTTGGAATTTCAATAATCCACTAAGTGCATTATACTTTGACCCTACATAAAGTGGCTTATCACATTCTTCAAGAAGTGATTTCAATGAATCAGGTTCTTCGTCTATATATTTGAAGGCATCATGTAGCATATCCTTTGTATAAATAGCATCAGGAGGAATGGAATTGTTAGGGCATCTAGAATCACTCTTGGGTTGTTTTTCTCCATGGAAAGACCAAATCTTATAATTTTCATCGAAGCCATGGGCAAACAAATGATAGCGGACATTGTCAATTGAGTGGTGACACAAATTGATGCAATTTACACAAGGACATGGAATAACATCTAAGTTTGGATTATTTCTTTGTGCAAACTCTAGAAAAGCATTCAAGCCTTCATCATATGCAGTTGATAATCTACTAGAGGACATCCATAATTTATCCATTAAACATTTGTTTCCAACCTACATAATTATATACCATTTAAAGCAACAATGATTATGCATGTATATGGACAAAAACTGTGCAAAAACAAAACTGTACAGGGGCCAAAACTGTACAGGGACAAAAAAACTGTTCAGGGGCCAATCAGATGTCAAATACAGATGGTCAATACACAGAAATATAACATTCTGATGAGGGGAGGTGCATTATTTTTTAAATTTCTCGAGACTATACTTAAAAGAAAGAAAAAAAGAACTGATATTGTGAAGAGAATTGCTACCATGAGCAATGGAAAAAGCTTTTTGGGATGGAATCTCAGATTCTATAAAACAGGAAAAGTACACTTTATTTCTAGGTAATGTATACATATAGTCTATTTAGAACTACATTTATTGGTGATATTTTTTATGTTCATAATTTGCTAAATAGCTTTATTTTTTATTTTTTGCTATAGTTCTAGTTAGTAATAAAGATTTATATTGCCTCTTTACAGGAATGTATGATCATTAGGATGTTTTCTTCTTGTTTCTTTTTATTATGCTTCTATGATTTGTGAAATAGGGAAGACATTACTTGCAAAGACTGTAGCTCGTTTTGTTAACGTTCCATTTGTCATTGCTGATGCAACCACTTTGACACAGGTCAGTCAGTTGCTGATATATTTATTTATATTGCTTTTATGGAAATGGACTGAAAAGTGAAAACCCAATCTCAATGTGTAGATTTATGTTTCCATTATTATATATGGAGTTAAATGTATATTTATGCTTTTCCCCAAATTATGCAACAAAGTGGGTTTTATACAAAATATGCAACACCATTTCATTTTAGTGTTGCATATTTCGGTCCTTGAAGAAACTTGATATCAAGTTCATGTTGTTATGTTAATGAACGAAGTGAGAGATGAGCTTTGTGAGATGTCACCTCAAAGCCAAAAACAAGAGATTCATGAAGTTATTGATCTTGATATTCTTTATCAGGTAGGATTTTGAGATTTTTATTAACAGAAGCTTTCAGCCATAGCACATGAAAAAAAAAACTTAAAGAATCTCATCAGAAAGTTCTCTCAGAACTAGCTGAATTATGCCAGGCTAACATGGTCAATACACAGAAAAATTTAATGAGGGGAGGTGGAGCTGAAAGCTCTGGAGTGCAGCAGTTGGTTATAAAAATTCTGATGTTGATTTTTTTTTTGCCTTATGGGACAGGTTGCTCTTTCAAGAAAGTCTCCATATGTTCAAACTGCCCACATGCCTTTCTTGAAAAATAAAGATCATCTTACTAATGCAAGGAGAATTAGGGGTATTTTGGGCATTTCATATTATTAGTTTGTTATGTCAGATAGTATAAGAGGGTAGTGTTATTTTTTATTTTTCTTGCAAAATGATAGTTTTCTTCTGCTTGTGATTTGTTCTTTTTTAATGTAGAGAGCTGAGAATTGCATACACTATAGCACACATGGAGCGTGAAGGTGGTATGAGTCCAAGAATATCACCATTGTATTTGTTTGTATATCATCAATCTTACATTTGTAATTTGGTTGTTTGCTTACTTTTTCTCTTCTACTTAAAATTTCCTACTTTTCATTCAAACTTCTTTTTTAAATGTTACTACTACAAAAAAATAGAAACTGTCTTTCACAATACTAAAAACTCTAACTACAATAATTAATCAATTCTTATTTCAATATGCACAAAATTACCTACAATATGTCAAATATCCAAGCATCAAGTTTCATTTTAGAAGGCTTCTTTATACCAATCTATATCCTATTCCTAATTGCTATTTATTAAATAATATTTTGTTTTCACGAAATAGATGTCAAGTAAAAGTGGAGGTGAGGGATACCAGAAAAGTCAGCAGGCTCTGGGCGCTATACTCGCGAATGGTTTTCGCACCGAATAGATTTCTTATAGCATCATCCTTTGAGGCTGTAGCAAGTAACAGAACAATTGTTGCTTTATCACCCTTTGAGGCTGCAACAAGTAACAGAACAATTGTAACTCATTTTAACTACATGCATATTGCAATGCACAATTATGAAAAAAATTAACAAACATTAGCATTTAGCAAGTTATGTGTGAAGGAAGGTTCACATAATGCAAGCTTGGATATTATACTTTAAACTAATTCAAACATGCTATCATCACTTTACCACATAAGGTACTAACACATTTAAGAGAATGATACTTGAATATGCAGCTTATTGAATGATTAATAACACATCTAAGCACAAAATATAATAACTACATGAGGTGTTAGTGGGGAGTACATGTTTGCTTGCCTACCATAAACCTGTCACCGAAGTTTTATCTGAATACAATGTTGGGTTCAATGTGAAGAACATTGGTCTGAAGGATTTGAAGCATGGTACTGTGATAACTGATGCATATATATTCAAGAGAAACAGCCAAATGGAATCGTATTCAGTCTAATATAGGAGTAAAAAATCATGGTACTGTGATAACTGATGCATACATTGATGTTACTAGACATGTAGAGGGGTATGTTCAGGAAATAAGTTGTAAAAAATCATGGAGCGCTGATCAGATTAAAGTGAAAAAGACTCGAGATGCCAAAACAGGTGAGAGTGGACAATTACTGGTGAAGAACAAAATTAAAACAAAATTAATATATTCTTTTTTCATAAATTCAACAGATAGAACAAAATTAATACAACTTTTACAGATCATATGAGCTCTTAAACATGATAGAATTCAACAGTTCTCGAAAGAGAATGTCAGTAATCATAAGAAACACTGAAAATCAACTCTTATTACTCTGCAAGGGTGCTGACAGGTGGCTTACTTACTCTTTTAACACATAAACTACAACCATTCAAATTTAAATGTAAAATCTTTCCAGTTTCCACTCACATTACATATTTTTTTTCATAAATTCAGTGTCATGTTTGAAAGACTTTATAAAGAAAGTCAACCCTTTGAAGAGGAAACAAAGAATCATATCAACAAATACGCAGAGGCAGGTTTAAGGACTTTGGTGATTGCATATCGTGTTGTTGAAGAAGAAGAATATAAAAAATGGGAAGAAGAATTTATAAAAGCTAAAACTTCAGTGTCTGTTGAACGTGATGATTTGATAGATGCTGCTGCTGAAAAGATTGAAAGAAACTTGATTTTACTTGGTGCTACAGCTGTTGAAGATAAACTTCAAAAGGGGGTAAAAGCTTAAAAACTTAAAATGTCATTATTTTTTGGATAATCATGAAAATTACCAAAATGGGTCGGGTCTTATTTGACAAATTTGACATCCTTTTTGACTTTTTAACAAAATGGATTCCTCTTTCACAATAGCCCAATTATAAAATTCCAGTAATTTGCAGAAATTATTTTTAGTGACAGAAGGCTGCAAAATATGACATCATCATTTTGTGAAGGTTAATCTAAAAAAAGACCTTATAATTTGTGGTTTTTTTATTATACACAATATTTTGCTAATGTTTGTAAGAAATAATTTTTTTCCTTTCTCACAGGGTTTGAGTGATCTCTCTCCAATATTTTGCTAATGTTTGTAATTCATCGTGAAAGATGAATCACAAGCTTTCTGGTGTTTTTTTTTTATGGAAAGATTATGTCCAAATTTCAACCGTGATTAAGGGTATTTTGGTCATTTAATAAAAAAAGAGTAATGATATTGAAACCACCTGCCCTCATGAATGGTTGAAGTCCATCAAATTTGAAATTTGAAGGAATTTGACAGAGTTGAATTCTGTCTGAATTTTCAACCAAATGCACCATTTAATGGAATCTTGAATTCCAATTTCCTTGGAATCCACAATTCCAATTCTTGGCTGCGAAGAGATTACTAAAAATGGTATTTCAAGAAAATCCAACATAACTAAATTCCATCCCAATTGTCAACCAATTCCAACAGAACTGAATCCACAATTCCAATTCTTAGGAAAAAGATGTGTCTTCTCTTTAAGAAGAATCCTCAATATATACTTAATACACAAGCTAATTATCAGCCTAAGTTACAGATTTCTAGCCAATAAATCAGCTTACTAGAGTTATATACAATTATTGAGAATAAAAGCATGTGATAACAAAGATATTTTGTTGATGGATGAAGTGAAGGATTTGGGTGACACCATAGAAGAGAAACCCTATGTTATTACTTGGGATGGAGCCTTAAGGATTGAGAAGGTTATTGATGAAACTGGAAGTAGAGAAAAGAAGGTCAACAAACGGAAGGTGAAATCAGTTGAAAGAAATGAGCAACTTGAGGCTATGGATGTAGAGCTTGACATGAAGGAAACGGATAAATCTGGCCAAGTAAACAAGACTAACCTCATTGGATTGCTTAGAGATGATGTTGGACAGTTGAAAGAACTTGAGGGGAGGACTCTTGTTTTAAGCACCAAAGAAGAGCCAAAGTTTGAAGAACCTGAAGAGAAACATCTCACAGGGGAGTTTGATAAACTGAATTTTGAGGGATTTTTCGTCTCTTTTCTCGGGCCACTGACATTATAATTACACAGTTAGCCAATCCTTTCTTCACCTTGAGGACAAGGTGAAAGCTTGGGATAAAAAGCAGACCAAATGTTCGCAAGATGAAAGAAGGGGATAAAAACATTACATACAACTTGAGAAGCGTGAGATTTACCTTGTGTTCAACTTGTGAAGCTTCAGTAGGTGAGAAACCCTTGAATGTGTTCAATTTAGCATCAGATTCATGCCTACCAGGCGCTTCTTCCCTTTGTGTCGACTTTCTTCTTCTCTTTCTCTTCTGTTACTTGGTTCTCTGGCCAACCGGGAAGTTTACTTTTCCTAAATCGTTTCAACAGGAACACCTTAATCGGACCTAGGGCACGTAAATTTGAGCAGTCTCCAATGATATCAGTTGAGCCCAAGGTCGTCGGCGAGGCGAAATCAGCCGGAGGAGAAGTAACCTAACGTCGTCGTAGGAGACGTTGTCTGCAAGGGGAGGCAAGTCAAGGTCTCAGAGTCGATCGATTGTAGAGAGTGATGTGACTGATGAA